GTCTAACTGAAATAAGTCGTGTCTTTAACTGCCGTGTCTGTACCTATGTAAAATCTTGTGTCAAACACATCGGACATTCACGATTCAACAAATGTTAAATGTTTGTAAACAACACTTTTCGTGTTTTTATGACATCACCAAGTACAACATATGAACTGAGAGATATAAGAAACTTTACGTAACGAATACGTCTACATTTACATCTACATTTTTTTTATTTATCCATGTCATAATTAACATGCATAGCAATTCTTTTTACATATATATAGGCTGTTACCTTACCACTTACCACGATTCATCAACAGGGGACGTAACATAAGAGACTTAGTTCTACCGGGGAAGTAAGACCTCACAGAAGACCGATGACAAGTAAAAGTAATCATAGTTTTGCGTTTCGTCTAATGACTGAAGTGACCCAAGTTCCACGTATCTTCAGTTTTTATGAATGTCCATGGGCAAAAACTACTTGAAACCACAATGTCAAACGATGAAAAAACGTTTGATCATATTTTATTTTCGTATGCTGTCATAATATCGAACATTAGCTTAACAGAGAAGAATCGAGAGGCCAAAGATTTGGTAACAGTGCAATGGTTATAAGTAAAGTGTTAAGCAATTTACGCCGTCAGAACGCCAAGTGCCCAGACAAAGGTGGATGCGAAATACAAATAGAAGAAAGGCCTGACGTAACATTCGCGAGTGGCTCTTTGGGAAATACGTAATTTACAATTCAGAGCAGACACGCTGCACAAACTGAATCTTAAAGCGCCATCGTCCGACAATCCAGCGCACGTCCCCTACACTATCCAGCGCACGTCCCCTACACTATCCAGCGCACGTCCCCTACTTATATCTTCTGCGACGGATTCCGCGTGAATATTTAGCGATTTTTTTGTCTATTGAAAATTTATTAAACAGTAGGTTAAATTATTATTTAAATTTATTAACCTACCTTCAAATCTAAAAATGGGTAATTATAATTGATGTAATTTGTATATAACATTTGTGTATAATCGAATTAAACTATTATCACTAAGCCCGGATAGTGTGGGCACATGTGGGCAAATTGTTCCAATCCTTTGGTAAGTAGAGCCTCTTAGTTTAAATGATGAGATTGTAGATAGTAAAAGGATAGAAGCGAAGTGTGCCTCCGCCCGCATAGGGTTTGGTATTCTAAGTTGATCCCATAATTGTAAGGCTTATAATGAGTCTTTATTGAAATGTTGGTAAATGAGATGTACATTCAAACACCATCAAGGGTAGGTTGCTTGTGCTTTGCCAATCTTTTAAAACAGCCCTGATAACGTTACACTTCACACTGGTCTTCTGTGAGGTCGTGACACTTCTCCGAACGATCTAAGCCATTAGTGCAACAGTGAATGCGTTGCGTACCGTTTCAATATCTACACAATTAATAAAATAGCTTGACACCTTCAAGCCCACAGTGCCGTTGCCCACAACACAATGTGGGCATCTTCAAGGCAAGAGTGAATGTAGTAGTAGTACGTTCACCACTAACGCGTCGACCACAATTCACTTGACAAAGCTTAGACTTCGTAAAGCCTGCGAAATTAATATAACTTGAGCATAAGATATTGACTGGCACGCGATTGCATGCGATCGACGTTTCAAGGCCAAACTCAAGAGCCGAAGCTAACGGAAGCCCTGCAACGGTTTTGAATATTTCGTCCGAAATTGCTTATTCAGTCATTTTTAGAAATTTAATGCTTAACTACACATTTAAAAAGTAAAACAGCTGTGGTTTAAATAAATAAACATGGCTATAACAATTATAGTAATTCGTCTTAGATTGTTTATACAACATATATAGATGATTGTCTATACATTAATTGTTTACATTTATATAATTTAAGATGAATTATGTATTATAATATCGCGGCACAGATACAAACGGAAATAATATTTAGAAAAGTTCTTGCGTACTGGCTATAAACAATGTGCGTTTGTTTTTGGCAACGATTGGTGATCAACATAAAAAAACGGAAGCGGAATTCCCATTTTGAAATTGAACCTACGCCACGTTGGTCGCCAACAATACACGAAAACGGAGATGCTTGCTCACTGCTTTAATATCATGCTTTTGTATCGACTTTGTAATGTCAAGGCCAAATGATCGGTCTGATATAACCGGTGAGTAATTCCAGCCATTTGAAAAATATTTTATGGCTCAACGGTGTACGCATTGCGCATTAAACATTTCACAAATACATTAAGAATTACAATGAGACGGAGAAATTTGAAAAGAAAAATGTTTTGTTTTGAATATCATCTCAATTAGATTATGCGAACAAAATAGAATAAAGGATGACGTGCAGAGAACCAGCTCTTACATCCGCTCTTTTATGACATGACTGTTAACAATGCAAGCCCAGTTTCAACAGATTAAAACATGACAATTAAAGCTGCGGTACGTGGAATACAGTCATTATTATGGTAAAAACTATAAACGGATGTTGCTTAACGACAAATGGCAATGGAGATACATAGCTCAGTTAATGTCATAACTGGTTAGAATGGACGTGGCATCAGGGCTAAGAATTGAACGATGGATTGTGTTGATTGCGACGAAATAAAAACATAAAATTTATAAAAACTTATTCTTCTCCAATCGTATGAAATAAGTGAATTAACTCACTTAAAATTATCATGTCATATTAAAATTTTATGACTAAACTTTAAGTAAAAGCTTAAATTCAAATTTTATTGAAACAGGTGGAAAGAGCACAATAATTGAAAATTAAACAATTATCGCCAAAAGTTTGCGGTTTTAAATGAAAATCATTTGAACAGATGTAACTAGATTCGTGTGAGTATCTGCAAAAGAATAACTTCGGTTGTACATTTTAGTAATTCGTTTTGAAAATTATAGACGGAGACAATAAAAGGAGAGTAACTATGAACGAACTGAAATGTTTTAAAATTAATATTCTAAACAAATTGATCAATTTATATTTAAATATTCAATACATAAGAAGTAATACTGAGTAAATAATTGATATGGTTTTCATTCTAACCGACACATATTTCGTGTCGCAACGGTTATTTATTTTCCCTCCGTTAATTATAGAAGCGTTGCTGGAATTTCTTCGACCACGCCCTAATAATAGCGTGACACGAGCCGAGGCTCCCTCGGGAGCCCTCGAGCTTAGTCACCAATAACTGATGCTTAGGATAGGCGCCCTCAGCGCCCGGCCACCTCACCCGGTGGCTCTGTAAAGGCCCCTAAGGCCAACTGTGATTGATCCAGCCAAAAAAAAACCGGCCAAGTGGATATGGCGTTTTATAAATATTTCATGCGAAGCATTTAGTTAAAATTAATGTGAAATATTGAACGAATTCAATACGAGAACAACGATAATATGCCAGATAAAGTGCCAGACAAAGTGGGGGACAAAGCAAGCACTCGCAGCGAGGTCACTCGGATTTTGTGCCTTTCTTTTTGTAGAGCGAGTGGAACTTGTATTTATTGATTCAGTAAACTCTAAAAGGATCAAGGATAGTCGTACAATAGGGTCACATGCAAGGGTTTGGATGAGCTCTCTTTATTAAAAGAAACCTTTAAATAATGAACCTTTGGTAATGAATTTTATACGGTTATTTTTAAGGAATATATAAAAAACGCGTTGCACATAACGCGTTTTTTGCGTTTCGTTGCGTAAGCAAAGTGCATTCTAATAAAACACACCCTCATAAGTTCACGTTAAACTATCGTTATACTATTTAACCTTTGCTAAGAGAAATCTTTTTAGAAATACTGACTAACAAACACTAGTACTTATACTAATTCATAAATCCCTATATCGCAAAAAGTTAACGTGAAAGAATCCTTACTAATATTATAAAGGCGAAAGTTTGTATGTATGGATGGATGTTTGTAACTCTTTCACGCAAATACTACAGAATGGATTTTAATGAAACTTTACAATAATATAGCTTACACATCAGAATAAGACATAGGGTGTAATTTATATACATATTTTATCTGTCTTTCTGTCTTAATGTTACACCTTCAGGTTATACGCAGGCGTACTTGCGGGCAGCAGCTAGTGTCTTATACTTATCCGTTTCTAAAACAGTTTCTTTAATTGCCTTAATTTTAGTGAATATAAGTTAAAACTGTAAGCGATGCCTATATTCAGGGGACTCTATCAGAACTGAAACGATAATATTATCATTAGTATTTTTCATTTAAAAGTTATAAGCGGCATAAAATGTGTAAACAGTTAAATATTTGGCATTTAACATGTAATGAGTAAACATTTAAAAAGCCTCAAAGTATGCGACACATTTAAAATAAGTGAACAATTGAATATCAATTAAGCAGAGACGCCCCCCATGTTCCGCGTTCATGGCAATGTTGTAGAGTTTTGAAATTATAAATCGACATGATTTTTAAACTGCAATGCAACTTGTTATCTTACTATTCATACTGCAAGGCATGTAAGGTCACCATGGCACCTTTGTAAATTAATTTATTAGGTACAATTTAACTTTAGTATTATCCGTTATAATTAATTACGATCCATTGAGCCGGATGCTTGAACATACATGGCATTGAATTTCTTCATATATAAGGTAATTTATCTTACAAGACTAATAAGGTTAGTTATTTAACTTCATAATATTGACTTGATCGGATGACACGGTGGCGCGGTTGCTTAACTATTGGCTTCAGGCCGGGGTTTGTGGGTTCGATTCCCACACGGGACAAGTATTTGGGTGACGCACAGATAATTGTTCCGGATCCGGGTATTGGTACCCACGGAGAGTTGGGGTCATGCAGGCGGCTGGTCGTAAAAAACCTAGCCAAAACAATTTACAACATGATTCACATATTGTGTTGACCCCACCGTGACGGGATAACAGAAGGATGATTATGATGATAATCTAAGACTTGGATACACTATCCTATTCTTGTCCTTATATGTTCTGACGCTCCTGTGCAAACGATTTACGACGTGCCCCCGTCCGATCCGCAGGAATTGGCGAGATGCGCGAGTTCGACTTCTCCCTGCCCCCACTGCTGATGTGCTGCGGTTTCTTCATCATGTACCTGGTGGAGGAGCTGGTGCACATGTACATAGACTACCGCGAGAGGCGCAACGGCCAGAGCGCCCCGCTGGTGAGGAACCTCAGCGTGAGGCGGAGTCGCGTCAGCGGAAGCGAGGGCAACGGTGAAAAAAGCGTCACCAACTCCACAGCGGAACTCATCGACCCCGCCGCTGCTAAAAAGCCAAAGGTAAGGTAATAACTAACTAACTATATAAAGAAAAATTAGACTTCAGATATCTCTCTCTCTCTCTCATACATTTCTAATTTACTTGGAGGGGTTACCTGTTCCATTTACTTTTGTAGTTCTGTACAAAAGTTTTCGCTGTTGCACGAATGGGCAAGTCCGTCCGGGGAAGTACCGCGAACTCATAGAGGACCGGCGTGAAGTCAAAGTGTTATACTTCGGCGTTTCGTCTGGTGAGTGACGTAGCCGGGGCTTTATTGAAAGGTGGAAACTCATTTGTAACCCGACGGGTATTGTGAATATTCATGGGCAGCGGTTATGTCTTAACATTAGGTGAAACGCCAGCTCGCTTACCATTTTCTTCCATAAAAAAATGTATCTACGTAGTCCAAGGTCCGATTCCCTCAATTATTAAGGGGCCACATGGTAGTTGAACCAAATCCAATGGAAAAAAAAAATTAAATCGGTTCATAAATGTAGTAATTCTAAGATGACAAACATAAAAAATATAACCGAATTTAGAACCTACTCCTTTTTTAAAGTCGGTTAAACAAAACACACAAATAGCTCCAGTTGGCAAACGTTTTTGCATGAGAAAAATAATTGGTTATGGGCTGCGTTGCCAACCTTTAAAAGCAGTGACTCTCTGTTACCTTAGTTACCGGTCGAAACACCAACGTATAATAATTCTACTTTACGCTGGTCTTCTGTGAGGTCGCGATACTACTACTTATGATACGCGATACTAATGCTACAACTACTACAAATAAATTTAAAAAAAACAAGTAAATATAACACGAACAGACAGATTTATGTTTTGAATTTGATCCATTAAATTTTTTTATAGTGCATATAAATGAAATATGTTGTACTAATTTGAATAATTACAAATTATCTAATTTGCGATATATTTTCATTAAAAGTCAAATTAATTAATATTATAAGTATAATGCTTATCACACTAACCATTATTATTATTCTATTTATTTCTGGCTTGGTGCCAAGAATGCGAGCTGCTTTTAATTTATTTTTAAATTGATTAAATTCTAAGCGGGTTGCTAGTAGTAAAGCTTTAAAGCGGAAATAATAAAAATATATTACTACATTGCTTTAAATTTTCATTTTCAGGACCCGGAACATAATAATCACGGTCACTCCCACAACCACAGCCATATGCCCATGTCTAAAGGTGATGACGTCACTTCTGCGTTACGTGGTCTATTGATTGTGTTAGCCCTTTCCATTCACGAATTGTTCGAGGGCCTGGCTGTGGGATTGGAATCTTGCACCTCCCATGTATGGTGAGTCTTCTTAATATTGAAATGCCATCTATAGGCAAATAGTAACACATTTAAATATTATAATTTTAATACAGACCACATGTCGCCAGATGGCAGTGTTATTAATAGTACAATTTTACATTGCCTTCGTAACATATTTTAATGCTTTCCAGGTACATGTTAGGAGCTGTATCCGCCCACAAACTAGTTATTGCCTTTTGCATTGGTGTAGAATTAATTGCTACACGCACAAAGACTTGCCTTGCTGTGGTTTACATCACCACATTCGCTATTGTTTCACCATTGGGCATTGGCATTGGATTGATATTAGTCGGCGGTCAAGGAGCCACGGCTGCTGGAGTTTACTCCGTGGTGTTGCAAGGTCTTGCCTCGGGGACTCTGCTCTATGTAATCTTCTTTGAAATATGGAAGAGCGATAGAACCGGCATCCTCCAATACTTGGCTGCTGTAGTTGGATTTTGTCTCATGTTCGGATTACAAATGCTAAGTAAGTATTTTTTTTTTTTTCAAATAATATTGTTACAGAAATGATAATATGATTGTACCATTTTATTTTCCCCTTATATACATTTCGGTATCATAGCATAAATATTTCTTAGGTTTTTTAATAGAGACAATAGAACGTAAGCAAACACCACGGCACAAGGACAACCGATATTACTGATAGGGTCTGTCTCCGACATCCTCGCTCCTTACTCCAAACGTATAATACATACTTCCACTCGTAGTAGGCTGTGACACTACCCCGGTCATGCCTAACCATTCATTAAAAATCTACTGCGCTATACAAGTGAAAACAGAAGTGAAGAATACCGGATATTAAAAGTTAATAAATGTTCGATAAAATGCAATGTTGTTTAACGTGTTGCCAACATAATTTTTTCTTTCTTTCCAGCGGGCCACTCACACAGCCACTCGCACGGTGACGGTGACCATGGCCATTCCCACGACAAATGAAAGAAATATAATAATAGAAGGTTATTGCTTAGTTGTTAATGATATCGCATGCGTGTTATGTCCGTGTTTACTACGTCCAATTTCTATGTGATAGGCCGTGAAATATGTACCAGCTCAAAGCCCGAACATTAACGCATCAAATGTGATGAACACACTTGTGATACCTTGTTGTGATGAATTTATATTTTTTTACTTTTGTAAAATTGAAAAAAGATGTACTGTATAACTACGTACGCATGAACTGTCATTACCAAAACAAGTGTCAATGCAAGAAATAATGTACGTGACTTTGTAGTTATGTAATAATTCAAATTATTTTAAGAAAAATTATCTATTATTATCCGGCCTCAATAATACCGATACCTTTTAAAGAAGCCCGAGAATTGCTTTTTATCGCCATTTGTCTTTCAGTAATGAAATTGTCAGCATTGAAAGGCTATTTCTCTGTAAATAAAATGTATATAAAATATTAATAAATATATATCTATATATGACTTGTATACTTAGCTATTTAAATGGGGCTATTTATTGGCTTTCGCGAACAATTTGATCATAAATCCTTCGTTTTGTAAAATTACCAACCAACGACATTTTAAGTTTCAAATGGTGCCAGTATGGGTTGATGAATAACGGAGCTTAGATTTTTAATTAAAATTATCAAATCCGTTTTAATATTAATTTCACTTAAATCACATACCATCAGAAGTATCGTTTATTTTCTCAAACCTTTCATATTCTGCTATATGTCATCTAGTCAGCGTAATAATTTCAAAGTTTATCTTTTGAAATGTTTTGTTATATGAAACTTTAGTCCCAAAAAATACAAAACAATACTCATGTTTTACATGGACCCCACTCGAAACCCTAGTGGCGTACAAAATTGTCGTTATACCACCTATTTAACTTAAATTTCGAGTTAAATATAATTTTCTGTGTGTAATTTATCGACAAACAGAATGATGAACGGAGATATATAATTTTTTCAATAAAAATCGAGAACTGTTTACTGTAAATAATTTCTTTTTTGTCTGTGATATATAATTATTGTAAAAGTGGACTTTAAATACAAATGTAAATATGTATGATTTAAGCGTAAGTACAAAGTTAGTCGCAATGTCAGATAGTATTTAAAGTGAGGCGGCATTTTGTACTAATAAATAAAAATAAAGATTTTCAATAAATTGTAAGTATGTTTATTTATTACTATTTTTATTGAATTTTTATAAATGCTTATAATAATATTTTTATTAATCTGTCTAGTATTTTATATCAATTTAAAGTTAATTAAGTACATTTATTATATTATACTAATTTAGTGATAGTGATTTAAAAAATATAATTTAATTACTAAACTATATTGTAAAAACTATAATCATATTTACCAAACCCTCTTCTATTATTAAAATTATTAATTGCTTTGATGATGAACAGAAACCATTGGAGTTCAACGTTAATTTCTTGCCTTGCACAGTGCACACTTCACACGAGCGTCTAATAAAGCGACACTAATGCCCAGTTTCCGTTTCCTAAAGGACCTATTTTTAACCGATTTCAAAAAGAAGGAGGTTATCAATTCGGATGTTTATATTTTTTTATGTATGTTCGGGCATAACTTCGTCATATATAGACGGATTTTTAAAATTCTTTTTTTGTTCATACAGGGTGGATTTTATAAAAGTGCCCAAATTCACACAGGAGGTTCAGACTCGGTAATGGTAATTCCGTAAAAAACAGAAATTATTGACAATGCGGTAGGTAGTCATTCATAAATGCGTCGTATACTTTTGGATGGATACACTTAGAAAAGCCTCCCTGTATAGTATTTTTTTTAAGTAGCTATTGGTAGGCTTAGCTATTTTTGAAATTTCTTCTTTCTTTTTATTTATTTCTTCGTTACCAGATTTTATGTAGTCGTATTGGTTATAATATTTTTCAACTCCTCTACTCCGCACGCTGGTTCCACTTCAATGACAAGTAGCATAAGACGGGACTATCGGGACACGGGTTAATAATAATATACAGCGTGTCGTTACCATCGCGACAATAAATGAACACGCATATAGGGGATAACTTTTTAAAGTTGTATTAAACATTTAAATTCTTTAAACATCAATATTTACAAAGTTATTAAATTTTCCAAAATAAAGAATTTTAGAACACCCTTACCTATAAAAGCGTAACGTAAAGTTCATTTGTAAAGGTCACAAAGCATATGAATGGGTTGAATGAATTTAAAAGAGACAAAACATACTGTTAGAAGGAAAGGCTTGTAATACGACGCTGTGACGCGAGTTGTATAGGATGATACAAATTTTGTTTCTTTTTACTTAATTAGTTTGTTTGAAATATATTTTTTTCTAATTATGGATTTTGTTTAACGTTAATATTTTTTTATGATTATTGGCAAGTAGCGTTAGACTTGTGTTCATTTATTGTCGCGATGGTAAAGACACGCTGTATAATGTACCCAAATGAAAACTCCTAAAATAGCCATACACAAACTAAAATTACATCGTCCACGTTAAAAAAATGTTCATAAATAACAAAAAAAATATTTATTCAGTCATTCATTCATTCATTCATAATAGTCAGCGCTCATCCATCTAATCAAAGACAAAATCCACATTCATAACAAACTGTAAGGACAAACTTTATTTCCCAAAGATTTCGTGGGGTCGCATGTTCACGTCCACTAAATCATCACCTCTCACCACCCATCAAAAACGGTCCACCCATTAAAACGAATCAAACTCGAAGCAGTTGTATTCCTTAATTACTGAGTTCCTATGGCCACATTCCAGCTCTGTCATTAGACCCTGGTTACCATCTAGCACCAAAGAACTCGAAGACGAATCAAACGAGCCGAAACTCGATGGGGTTGAGTCGTTTCATTACAGAATGGTCATAGGAACCTCACAGAATAGCCTCATAGACCTTACAGAAGATCGACGTAAAGTACTCTTCTGCGTTTTGACTTTTTGTGAGGTAGCCGGAGCCCACTTTATTATAAAAAATGTGTCCATGGACGGCTGAAGATGGAGCTCCATCATCAGATCCTGGTTACCAATGAAAGACAAAATTCTCGTCAATACGATTCAAATGTACCCAAACGCGATGAGGCTCTGTCGTTTCATTGCGAAGTTTCTTTGGCCACCTTCCAGCTCCACCATCAGATCAGCACCATGTCATAAAAATATTGTATTGTCTCACGATTTACACATCTATACAAAATTTTAGCTCAACCGGTAACTGGGAAGTAGATCAAATTTAATTTGAAAGATTTGATGACAAACATTAAAATATTGTAAAGATGTTCACAAAATGAAAACTACTTGGCCAGACTATGGTAAATTTTTATGGGACCAAATGGCAACTATTCTGCATCAAACTAAAGAAGAATCACGTAAATCGGATCATAAATCTCAACGTAATCGGTGTACATACATCGAAAAAAATATATAAAAATCGAATTGAGAAACTTCTCCTTTTGAAGTCGGTTAAAAATATTATATTAATTTAATTAAATATTGAAGGAAATATTGAAATATTTAATTAAATATATTATATTAATTTACATAAAATGTATATTGTGGCAAAAATATATAAAAACATTATGTTTAACAATTTTAATTAGTGGTCCCCCTAGGTCCTTGACCCAGCCCAGGGGGGTCATGACCCCCATGACAACCCCCTGGATCCGCCCTTGGTGAACCGTCTGCTCGTTTGGCAACTTTTCACATTAAAAAAAAAAACAAAGAGCATATTGTTTCCTGAAAGGCCAAGGCAACGCATTTGTAAGCCCTCCGGTGCTGCAGATGTTCATGGGTGGCGGTGATCACTTTCGGACAGGTGAGCCTCCTGCCCGTTTGCCCCTTTTTCCATTTAAAAGTCTGGATACGATTGTTTGCTCGTTACGTAATTAATTACAAATCTTTGAGGTAGGGAAGACTTGAACTTGTGTGAATTGATTATTCTCGTTATACTTGATTCTCAAATCTCATGTTGTTTTCCTGAGTCTGTGGGTTATCTGTCTGCGGATTTCTTCCGATGAAGCTGTCATCACTACAAAACACTAAAAATCATTAATCTATTGTTCTATGAGTACTGTTCTATGAGTACCCTTTTATGAGCGAGGTGATAAGAGGTATTAGAATTTTTATTTGAATTAAAAACCACGGAGTAAGGGGTTAAAAAATATAAAGAAAGATTGGAAATGCTGAAAGATATAAATAGGTTCGGTCATCCAATGATGCTTATAATTAAAATTATGCTCACAGTTGAGTTGTAGTGTTTAACTGTATTATTCCACTTTAGTCATGTAGTCTATGTCTAGTTTATAATTTATTTGTCTGTCAAATCAAATGTCATATCTTATATTTATGGTCGATTTGATTTCGTAATTTTTTTTTCAAAGAATCATACATAATACAAAAATAATACAAAAGTTGCGAAAAACAAATTTACGTTGTTTTTTTTTATAATCTATTATAAAGTGGTAGGTGAAACTTGTTCATGTGTACATCCTCCTATGGAATTCTCTGAACTTGTATTTTAATTTCTCATTTCTAGTAAAAAATAATGCAAATTTTATTGAATAGAAAGTGAATCGCTGCCCTATGATGTAACATTATACGAGTGAAATTATGTGAATTATTTAACTTTACTGCATCACCATTGGGTGGTATTGGTAGTAGAAAGTTTGCTCTGTATCGAAAAACTATCACTCGTTAGTCTGTCAGTGGACTACGTTGCACTGTTTTACGCTCCTTTTATTACAAGAACTACCTTAATATTTTAATTTTTTTTACAATGAAATTTTTAATAGCATCGGCAGTATGTTTACCAATGCCTTCAGAAAGTTAGTGGGAAATATTGTACTAATTACTATGTATTTATATTTTTATAGTAATCGTCTGATAGTTTTACCTTTTTACTTTTTTTTGATTAAATACTTAAATAGAGAGAAAGAGTTTCACGATGTGTTTTTTTATTATACAAAAAATGTTTTATTTATAGGTGACCATCGTCCTATCGCCCGCAGTATGTCTGCCTCTGGATTGACTTCACAAGCTCAAGTCCAATACATATTGCAGTGGTTTCAAGAGTTCAGTGATTTGCAGCGTGAAGATTTCCTCCCTGTTCTTGCATCAGCACAGGGGAATAGACCAGAACAACTGGCAGCAATACTCTCTAATCTTTCATGTCAAGATAAGCCTGTCAGTTTATTTCAGTGCCGCGTAAGTTTATTTTAATTCCTCACTTGTCCTGTTCCTTCCTTACAGTTTTAAATCAAACATATGGTATATTTTTTAGTTTGTAAACTACTGCTTAAATCATGCACATTTTCAGTGAGGTAAAGTAGAATAAAGCTATTATTAAGTGTGTCTTTCATAGGTTGCCATTAATCAGTATTATGTATGAGTAAAGTATATGTATGTATAGTAAGTGATTTTGCCTTTTAGCTTGTCCTTAAATGTATTGTGAATTTTTTAATCAGAATTCACTATGAAAAATTGCCCAAGATAATTAAACACATTTATGTGGTTTTTTTTACACATTCATGTATTCTAATTGAACACATTCATGTACTTGAGAAGGTCTGCTTTAAGTTGCCCTAGCAATGACTCATGGTTGTAAATTATACTTGCCATTAAAGTGGGTATATCAGCTTAATGATTTACTTTCTGTTGCACAGTATTAATTGATTATTAATCACCTTCAGAGCCTCTTACAAGTTGTTATTATCAGATTATTTTTTAAGCAATGCAAGTTGTAGGATGATATGGTTTGAATTATTCCATTTTTTTACATTGCTTACTTTTTATTTATCAATATTATTTATTCAAATTCAATCTATTCAAAACTTTTCAATTAATTGCGTATATTTATGTCACTGTGATCCGTGATAGGTACGATATCTGGGCGCTTGCTTTCAATTCAATGTAATGAAAAGTCTGAGTTCAAATTCGTATCAGCACCAATGAAATTGCTATTTTAAATGCTGACTTATTACATTCTCAGTGTTGAAGGAAAATATTGTGATGAAACCTGCATAGAAGCAGAGACAAGTATTGAAAGAGTTTATAAAGAATGATAAATGTATCTGAATAAGGAGGTGTAACAACCATTACAAATTTTAAGTTGGAAGTCATTTTTTAAAATATACATATTATAAATTTTGATACTGTGAAGATAGCTATAATATATGTTAATTACACCTGCTGGACAGGGTTCAAAACGTTAGGGATTTAAAATCATATGAAAGCACAATAAAATCTATAAAGTGGTTTCATTTAAAAATGTAATAATTTTAAATAAATTTATACTTTTCATTGACCTTCTTACATAGATTGAATAAAATAACATTAATTTTTAGGCATTTTTATATCTGTTGTGAATCTTGTTATTGTTGTTCAAATTGAAATGTTATTGGAAAATGTATATATATTCACTTTAGTGAAAAAGTTATAACTAGGGATTCGTCCTGGCTTCGCACGGGTGCAATGTATTGTTACGAGCTGGGGGTTCGGGGTTGGAATGAAACGCATACTTTTTTGTCGCCAACAAAGACGTGCACAGCAACCCATTCAATACCGCTCTAATCCTTACTACTACTAACGGTGCGACGTCTTTCCCGTTCCGCACCAATCTTACAGTGACACGATTGCCGGTGCGCTCTCTCTTACACCCATCTCCACGTACGCGTCCACTGGTGCAGCGATCCACACGTTACCGCACCAACATACCGCATACGACTTTACACTACTAGTAACTTCGTCACTGTTCAGTTCTATACTGTTCACCCACTACTACTCCACTTTCCACTTTCTTCTTCCTCTTCGAGGAAGAAGTTCCTCGAGTTCCTCCACTGAACTGCCGTCGAAAGCGGTCTGAGCCCCTTTTGTAGTCAGAATTTTGTTGGTTTTTTTCAAATAAAGTTCTGGAATTCGAACCTTCTTTCAAATTATAATTATATTTTTAATAATTTAAAAGAACATCTTATATGTCATTCCAAACTGTTATTAACGGATCGTTGATATTTAAGACGTCAACCGTAACAGACGTAATCATAACAGTATTATACATATAAATATTCCTCTTGAAACCCTCTATCTAGTAAAAAAAAACCGCATCAAGCTCCATTGGGCAGTTTTAAAGATCTAAGCGTACAGAGGCGTTCAGACAGCGGGATGACTTTGTTTTAATACTATGTAGTGATTGCTGGTTTTTTATTAAGCTATAAAATATTCTTTGCTAATTGTTTTATCCTTCATTTCACTTAGCAACATTTCAATGTTTTTCATAGTCTCTAATCTCCCTTAACATTTGAGTTTAATAAGTCAATTGTCAAAAGTTTTTCAAGGCTGCCAGGATTCAAACCCGCTCTTCTGGTTAATATGAACAGACTCCTCATATCCACATGGCGTGAAAGTTTAATCCCTTTTTATTTTTACAGGTAAAACTTTTCAATGAATGGTTCCCATCATGGTCCGATGAAGAGAAAGGAAGACTTATCAAAAAAATATCAGAACTAGATCCAGAATTTAGCAAAAAACTAAAAGGAACTGAATTACAAGGGACCCAAATGAATGGAGATGAAAATGATTCAGATGCAAATAATGCAGAAGTGTTAGCAGAGGCACCAGAGTCTCATAATGTGGATCAAGATGGGAAAGACATAATTGATGACAATAGAGAGTTTTCCTCATCCAATCCAGAAAATGTTTCAATTGAAATAACAGCAGCATCCTAAAATTTTCAAATAACCAAATTTTTTATTTATCAAATAATTTGAGTATTTTTTGAGACATGGATATATAGATTTAGGAGGAAGATTTTTAGTCTAGGCTTTTTGATACATATCCTGTTCTACCTTGTGTCTAAATGGGGTTTGTACCTTAAATCAAATATTTTACTTTGTTGATTTGCATACATATTTTATCATGTGTAAAAGGCTAATTTTTGTTTGCCAACAATTGCCATTATAATTTCTTAAGTGTTTAAATCTTCTAATAATATAGTTGTTTTATGATAGAGCCTTAAAAATGTTCCTTTGAAGCACAATAACATTCCGCTAATAACATTCCTTTATTGTAATTTTAGAAAGTAATTTGGATGACTATAAAAGAATTATTCTATACAGATTAATGAAAATGTTTATTCCGTGTTATTATTGTGATTGTAGTCTGGTAAATAGATAATTTTCTCCATGATTTATAATATTTATATGCCACTCTCTTCTTTTGAATTTCTTTGAAATGTTACTTGTACTTCAATTTATTTAAGTTTTCTGTACAAACGGATTTCAATTTTTTTTTATCATTTCGTATTAGATATTCTAGACAATTTTTTATTAACATTTTGTTCCAAGAATGTTGCTAAAATCAATTGTCTATTAAATCCCATATTTTTTATGATTGAACAAGACACTCCTGCACGATCCTAATGCTTTATTAATGTTCACTCTGTTATTATTATTTTTATGAACTATATAATATATTTATGTAGCTAACAATTTCATAAAGGAGAAAAAGAAGTACAAAAGAATGTAATGTGCCAATGTATGTCTTTTTCATATAAGACAATTATAGTTTGTATTATTCGTACAAATTATTTATATTTTGTCACAAAAATTTATTTTATAGGTATAAGTAGGTGTTATTTAAAATGTTAGTGGGTCATACTTTCGTGTGAATATTTAATAAAACCAATAGATCTGAATTCACTTTGTAATTGTATGGGCAATAAAGTTTTTATCATCCTAATTGTTTTTTTGAAACAGTTCAGAAATCTCGTAGAATTAATAGACCATTTTCTGTCATTACCAAAATGTAGTTTAAAACTTGATTATTTAAAAACTTCGATGTGTCTAATGGTAGTAGTTTTTCTTATTATAACATATAATAATGTTTAGTTTAGTGATCAAGAAAACAGTGCGATTTAACTTACTCTCATAAAAATCCTATAACTATCACTTTCCATTGAAGGCTATATTTAACACTACCTTTTCGCCCGCGGCTCCGCGCGCATGTATCACATTTTATATCGTGCTTAAAAAGTACTTACGAAACCTTACGTGCGCGAGTCCTACTCGAACTTCGTCGATTTTTTTAACTTTATATATACTTACAATCATCATCATTTTACAGACAATAATATATAGTTTCATCCAATTCAGCTGATGCTGTTATATAATATTTGATCGCACAAATCTTCAATGTGGTTCTGTAAGTTGATATAACTTTTTTATTTATGAACCTATTTAAATAAAAAAACACTAAATGTTAAGTGAAGCTTACGACAATACATTAGAGAGTTGCACCCAAATCGATTTAGCTGTTTCTGAGATTAGCGCGCACAAACGCACAGACAAACAGATAAACATACAAACAGACAAAAATTGTCAAAAAATCATTGTTTTGGGTTCTACTGCGTTGATAAAGGCCCCCAATAATAATTTTTCTCAAATATGTTCCATGTACTGACAACGATCAGACCCGGCAAATGTTGTTTTGCCATATAAATTGTTTGTAGGGTAGAAAAAAATGTTTGGGGTGGACCACCCTTAACATTTAGGGGGATCAAAAATAGATGCTGGCCGATTCTGCACCCTGGCCGATATGCACACAAAATTTCACGAAAATCGGTAGAGCCGTTTCGGAGGAGTTCAATTACAAACACCGTGACACGAGAATTATGTATATTAGATATAGATTTTTATATTTATTATATTATTCAAGTAACTAAAAACGGTTCCTTTAAAAACACTGACCAAAAATAATTTTAAAATTAATTTTATTAGATAACTTTTTGTATAATAAATTCAATATATAAAATAGGAATTATAATAATAAAAAGTTGTATAAAATTTTCCTCGGCACCAAGTGGCAATAAGTCATATTTTCCTTATACAAAGTTGAAATTTATTATTTGGTGATAAAAACTTAAACAAAACCGTGATAAACTTTCATTTCAATGGCACGTTACAAGTAGTATACTACAAAAATCATGTCCAATTTATTAGTAAAAATGTTGATATAAGTATCATGTTTCGACGCACTCGTCAAATGTTCACCACTACAAAAAATATCTCACGAAATAGAACACGGGAACACGGGCTGATACAAAGTCCGAATCGAAATTTTACCATCACAGCTGTTATAATTAGTTCAAGTGTCGTTTGATCCAATCGATGTAGGAGCCGACTCGCGTGTACACGCCTGGCCAGTTGGGGGTGCCGCAAGGCGTTGGCCCGTAGGAGACCACCCCTACAACTATCCAATTCTGGGTCGAGCGCATCTGGCCCATAAGAGCGCCGCCGGAGTCGCCGCGACACGAGTCCACTCCCTTCTGACCTCCAGCGCAGATCTGCTTCTCAGTTATCCTCCTATTGGCTTTCTTGTACACGTTGGCACACGTGGTGCTGTTCACCACGGGCACTATCGCCTTCAGCTTCACTTCAGACATCGTTTCTGAAAAGAAAATGGCGAATCATTTACAATAAAATCAATCAAGATATGGAATAGCATACGTGCCAGCCCATCCATAAAATTTTCCGCACAAGAGTAAAACAATATTTTTTATCCTCCGAAGCAGAAAACATCATATGCACTAATATATTTGTCTGATGTAAGGGAAGGGTTAAGCCCGCCTTTGTACAGTCTTTTTTGTAATCCTTCATTTGTAACTGTCTTCTTTGTGTACAATAAAGAATAAGAATAGGACAGTTTGCGCTTGGGTGAATTGCTGTTCGTTGTGATTTTTGTTTTACGACTAGCGACCTAGTTGTCTAGACAGAAAGGGCAAGGGACGTACAGAAACCTGATACCGTCCGTTTCCTGTTCACCCTATTTTCAAATATTCAAATTTGATCGAATACGGCACAGTTAAAACGTACAATTTACATTTTGGTTTAAATCGCCATAGGTATCTTTTTTTTTTCTTGTCAATAAAATTTTGTCTTTTAGTGTACCTACTGAAGAATACCAATATGTTTCAAAGGAACCGCGGATGGATTTTAGTACAATCACATTGTACAAACAATTAGACATGTAGGTATTGTCTGAATCTACTCGAGAGAGGCACTGCCCCCACAATATTTTACTTAGTATATTTATGTTTAAAGTGAAACACTTACTTGTTTCTGTTTTGCCCCAACCGGCTACTTCCATGTCGTATCCAACATATGAATTCGTTTGTTGTTCTTTCGTTAGAGGAAGACAAATTGGCCTTATGAAATCTGAAATGGTAGTAAATTTTATTAAAAAGAAATACACAAAAATACATTACAACACAAAACATATATTGTCAAGAAACGAAAATAAAAAGTGTTAAACCATTAGTCGACCACAAGTACATTAGCGCTGCCTGCTGATAGTAACTAATTTGATTGGATGTATTCTGTTCTGAACAAAATATATAGGTACTTTATCTTTCAGTTCATGTCACCGATTTTGCTAATTGTAAAACAGCGACAATGATGGACAGGAATTGACAAATCACTATCTCAGGTATGCTCTTAACGAGTTCTAAGTTTGGGTTGATTATGAAAGTCTAAGAGACCTGAGTGATTTATAATTATAAACTTATTTTATAGGGTATTGAAACATTGAATCATTATAGCTCACTGTCCTGGTGTCATTGCATTTAATTCAATATACTCGCCGGCGATTATTGATATAGGCGATATAGGCGACAAACGAAATCACGTCTTTCAGATTCGCGCAAATTCGCTTAAATCCGGACGACGTAGGTTCAATTCCCGCAGAGGTGAAAAACTCTTCGTGCATTTTTTCTATTAATATGTCATTTAAATGATTGCAATTTAACAAAAAAAAATCTTGTTTCCTACTACGGCCAAACACTAAATTTGGGTCTCATTGGTTAACAATTACACCATATAAATCTAGCGTTGGATCAGAAATGGCCAGAATTGGCTAACAGGAGAGGCGTACAAAAAAGTACGAAAAGTTTGTCGCCGCTGTGGGAACATTTAAATTATTTAAACATCAATATTTGCAGAGTTATTAAATTTTCCAAAACAAAGAATTTTAGAACATCCTTACCTATAAAAGCGTAACGTAAAGTTCATTTGTAAAGGTCAAAAAAGATATGAATGGGTTGAATGAATTTAAAAGAGACTAAACATACTGTTAGAAGGAGAGGCTTGTAATACGACGCTGTGGCGCGAGTTGTATAGGATGTTACAAATTTCGTTTCTTTTTCACTTAAAAAGTTTACTTTGAAAAATATTTTTTTTAGTTATGGATTTTGTTTTACGTTAATATTTTTTTAAGATTATTGGCAAGTAACGTTAGACGTGTCTTCATTTATGGTCGTGATGGTAACAACACGCTGTATGTGTGTTCATTTATTGTCGCGGTTGTAACGACACGCTGTATAAGTAAAAATTAAATTTCTTGTATATGGCTATGATCATCATTCTCTTTGTTGAAAAACACTAAGTATAAAAATTACCGTTAAACGGAACGTCGCGTGCTAGCTTCAAAATGGCTATGTCGTTTTGTTGGTGGTCATCTGATTTGTCATAAGCTTCATGAGGTATTTGCTCTGCCACTTCGACGTCGATGATACCCGTGGTACAATCCCTTTCGAGACAATCCCTCTCGCTCGAAATATTCCACTCGCCGAGACGTACTTGTGTTCTAAAATCGGCATTTGTAAACAGTTATTGCCCCTTTTACAAAGCACTTCCACAAATCGCTTTCCTGTCACGGATATTGGACATTTTTGCTTGAAATGGTGATTGACTTACAAAGTAAATAAGAGCTATTCATATACAATGTAAAGCGTTTTTTGATTATAAATATCACTAAATAATAAAGCAATAACTAACACAGTGTAACTTACAACTTCCACGTACTCGGTAAGTCGGCGCCTTTCAAGCAGTGAGCAGCAGTCAATACGTGTCTTGATGTTATAAGAACTCCTGCACAGTAGAAACCCCATCCTTTTGCTGTAATTAACGAGATTTTATTACGGATTCCTTCTGGAGAAGAAAATATAGCAAATAATAATAATGGATAGAAATAAAATATAAAAAATATACTATTAGTATTGAACAATATAAGATAACGAGTTTCTATTATTGTAATAGATTTGTTTAGAATAACGCATTATTAGGAAACTATACTAATATTATAAACGCGAAAATTTGTATTTATGGATGGATGTTTGTTACTCTTTCACGCATTAACTATATAATTACATACTACTTAATGGATTTTAATAAAACTTTACAATAATATAGCTTATACATCAGAATAAGACAGGCTACAATTTATATACATATTTTTATGTATAATGTCTTTCTGTCTGAATGTTACGCCTTCAGCCTATTTTACGCAGACCTAGTCGCGGGCAGTAGCTAATTAGGAAATAAGTATAGCATTGTTATGCTATACTTACTTATTTTTATATTTCATTTGCAAGCTTTAATGATTTTAGTTTATGTTAATGTTTGAACTAATTGATATGTGAAGGGTTCGGAATGGATATAAAATCACTGGTTTTACAATTTGGATGGATACAAAGTCACTGGTTTTACAATTTAGCACGTTTATTGCACTTTAATCACTTATTATTTAAATATTTGTATAGAGCACTTAGTCAACTGTCGATGCCTGGGCGGAAGAGAGAGAATGAATGAAAAGAACATATTTATTATGTTCGCAAGCGCAAACATAAGAGAGCGCATATTCCGATGTACAAAGCATTACACACAATTATTATTTTTAGTGCCATGCATTAAAAATATTTAAAATTTATATTTACTCCAATGACAATTTTCTAATGGAAGTTAGAAAAACAGTGGGATGCTTCTTTGTTGCAGAGAGAGAAAACTGTTTCAATCTGTAGATAGTAATTTAGAACATGTCCGTTGTCAAGGCGTCTTATCTAAAGAACCGCGTTATTGGCTTCACGCTTTACTGTCACGTAATTTGGGCACATTACATGACGATGAAAGCTTACGCCTTGCTTCAGGGATCCGTCTGAGTTCACCGATTTGTCACCCAACTTGTAGGCACTTTTGCTGCCTATAAACTAAGGTTTACGTCTTCACATCACAACAGCAGAAGCAAGTTGCTTAAATTTGAGTCTCTTTGTTCAGATTATCTATTTTTGCCATTTGTTATTGAAACTTTAGGTCCGTGGGTTCGGACATTATTAAATCTTTAAAATGACATCGAAATTTATTAAAGGTTTAGGAAAATCCTAGACCTATTGCCGCGGCTAGTGAAAACAGGTTTGGTTTTTTTTTTATTTTACGGTAGTAGCATCCAGCGTTCTTGGCAAAATGCCGCGTGGACTAAGTTTATAAAATGACATTTTTCTACCGATATCATATCTTGGTGACGATGGTGATCAAATCCGCTCATCTGTTCCGTACTGTCTGAGAGACTGTATAGCACAAATGAGCGGGTTTGAAGTACTCATTCCGACTAAAACTTTTCTTTCATGCTGTAAACACAAAATTTATTTCGAATTATTGTGTAAATATACCCAAAGACGTTTGACCTCAGGCAGGCAGCCAAATATTGTGCCGACCCCGCTTACGTGGGATAAGGGCAGGAGGTCATGTAAATATAGTTAGTTATTTAGGTGTTTACTTACGCTTATCGTATCGAATTAACACCAGCCATGGGTGTTCGTCCAGTTCGGTCTCTTGACCTCCAACTATCCTATCATTACTTTGAATACCACAGATTTTATCACTCGGCAGATACGACTTCGTCATGTTGTATATTAGAGAAGTATCATTGAATAAGGTTGGACAGCATATCTGAAAATGTATGGTACATCACTTTTATTTTGAATTTATTGCATTCTTTACATAACAAAATCATGGTAGGGACAGCTAGCAGCATCTGGAGTTTTTCCACGTGAAATGTTTCTAAAACGTCCTTACAACACAGGATAACATTAAAGTAAGGTTAATGTTTAAAAAAAAGGAAAAAATTTCTTGACATATTCGCATAGCAACAGTATATCGTATAATTTAGTAAAAAAATTGCATACCTTGGGCTGACTTTTTCGGTTGTTTTCACATATTAAAGGCGTAATGAAATCTGGTAAATAATTACTTGGATCGTTCACCAAAAGATCGAATATACCGGGACATTGCCTTATATTAATACATGTTGAACCTGAGCCGCATGAAGCTGTAATGGAAAAGTAAATTATACTTTTAATGCTTGAAGAAAAAAAAACTAGATTGCTAAAAAGCGATTAGAGTTATAAATAATATTCTGTATAACCTATAAAAGTGGGTAAAAAGCGATTGAACGTTAAAAAGTAAAACAAGGCAAGTTTAAATGATTAAGCAACGAAAAATTTATCATCACCGCTCTCGGAGTAGTTACACTTAAAGTCTCCACATAAGTGTTAAAAAAGTTAACTTAAAGTCTTCACTGTTGCCCGAATGGACAGGTTCGTCCAGGGAAGTACCACGACCTCACAGAAGACCGGCGTGAAGTTTTAGTGTTATACTTCTGCGTTTTGTTCGTTTAGTGAGGTAATAGGGGTCCACATGTCCATGTGTGGCGGTTATCACTTACAACATCAGGTGAAACGCCAGCTGGCTTGCCACCTCATCACATAAAAAATTTAATTAAATGATTTAATAATCTAATAGCATATTTTAACTATTAAATTCTCGATATCTATATTAATTCGACTAAGGATGCTAAAACGAGAAATCCAAAAGTTGGCATCAGGACTGCGCATTTGATTCTGTGGTTAATATAATAGCCTCGGTTAATAACAGACAACTGGTTTGCCTTCTGTCGTCATCAAATCATCGCTTGTCGGAATTACTTGTGCTAGAGAGTCAGCGCTCAATGGAACGTTTAAAACAAAAATTTCATGTTATTACTATGTGTTACATAAATTATTTCGGTCACGAAGGTTATTAAAAATATGAATAGTAATTAACGATATTTTCGATAGATCCTTTTCTATAATTTTAGAACAAGCCTCGGATTTTCATGTGAATTATTCATAGCGCCATCTAACGATCAATTTAGGAAACGCTATTAAAATAAATGATAAAAGTACTGTACGTACCGTAATAAGTACCTACAGAAACGACTAGTTTATTTAAATAGATTCACGTTTATAATTAAATCTCTCCCTTAACAAATATTTGCATGCCGAATTCGATAACGACTTCAATAATAGTTAATAAAACGTGTTTGTATAGCGCTCTTTGGGTAAAAATAATATTGAAATACCTACGAATTAATTTGAGAAGAGTTATTTTGTATATAATTGGTTAACTGATTTAATGAGACCATTAGAAGTGCTTTGATAATGGTAGTTAATGTCTTGGGTAAGAAGTATCATAACTATTTGCAAATGTTGGTCAAGTTAAATTGACTTACACAGTGTAACTTAATAAAAATATGTATGTATGTATGTATATACAACGTTAAAACAGAAAATATAATTTCCTTAAAACACAAAGTTTAAATAATATTCACACAGAAGAGGACACAAACACAATTTTTAATATCCTGATTATATATGATAATTAGTAGGTAATGTAAAATTCATACCATCTGCCGATTGGTTACTGGCTAGTCCTAAAAAGACGCATAACGTAACGATTACATCACATATTGAAATCATATTAAAAGTCACAAAAAATTAAAATAAGTCACTTTAATGTTGATCAAAACTCGACCTCCACACAACTGACAAATAAATTAAGCTTGTTTCGCCGGCTTAAAAGGTTATCAACACAAGTCATCCAATAGACGTCGCTGAAGCTTTGTTTGTTTTAATCGAGTTCATCGCATGAACTAAAACTGAGATATAGCTGCGAATAACGATCCCCACTTGTGTCCTTAGCGTCGCAGATTCGTCATTCGTTGTTTAACACGAGTTTTTCCTCACTGGACGCCGAGTATACAACTTTAGTCTTACAGGAAATCCCTTCTGCGATGCTGTCATCGTTTGCGCGTCAGTGGTTTTACAATTCTGTTATGATCTGATGACTCTGTTAGATTGATCAGGTCATAAGCATAGTTTATTCTGTTTTTTGTTGTAAATATAATTTCGTTCGAACTTAAAAGAGAGGGAACACAAATTTATTCAAACTTCGAAAACAAAATTTGGACAATCTTGGTCAACAGTTGTTTGAGAGAGTTTTTATTCATTTAACCATTAGGTACCAATTATGCTACATTCCAGATATTGAGTTAATTTAACATACTTGACGTTTGTTATTGAATTGTTTGTAAAAACTAAGTTATTATTGAAATGTTTTTTTATTATTTTTAGAAGACTGTTTGCAGTCGCAATAAGAGATATATAGTACGGAATAAAGTAACTAACATAATACATTACCCGTATCAAAATACGTTGGTATTAAAACATGTTAAATCTCGCTTATTAATAAAAGTTATGATGAACTTTTTAAACTTAAACTTTACTTAAACTTTTTAAAAACAGCTTTATAAATTGTTGATACCTGCCTTATGATTATACTAGCTGCTGCCCGCGACTACGTCTGCGTAGGATAGGCTGAAGGTGTAACATTAAGACAGAAAGAAAGATATACATAAAATATGTATATAAATTATAGTCTATGTCTTATTCTGATGGCTATACTATTGTAAGCTTTCATTAAAATCTATTCAGTAGTTTTTGCATGAAAGAGTAACAAACATCCATTCATACATTAGTAAGGATTACTTCGGCTCAGGAATTTGCTGTTGGCTGTTTTGGTCTTTGTTTTTCTCGGGATCTGACTAGTGCTTCACAGCTATGAGCTTTCTCACCTAATGGCTCATTATTTTTTTTATTAGCCTATTTACTCTTAGCTTAAACCCTAATGGAAAGACAAACGGCATATTGTTCTATTCCTTGTTATACGCTTAATGAACGAGAAAGTAAAACTCTTGATAAGATAGAATTGTGCCAAAGTGCAAGTAGAAAACCAATCTTACTGCTCAAGGCCAATAAGATTGGTTCTAACAAAGGGTTACCTGGGAGCCTCTTCGCATGTCTTTCCCTTGATTATAATGTAATAAGATGGCATTTAGCAGCACCTACTCACCATCTTATTGCTTTGAAAAAAATGAAGGTGCATCAAGAGACTTTGAACAGTATAGTAATTCAATGTTTAAAAGAAAAACTTTCAATATTAAATCAATTTAAACGTAATTAAATACTAAATTCTTTGTCAGTCTCAACATTTAACTGATTCAACTAGATCGTCCATGTCTTTAAATCATTTCCATTCCACTTAATATTAAAATAAAACTGAAAAACATTGGTTTCGTTTTATTATAACAAATTATGTATTCAACATTGGTATTTAACCGAGTTCATTAGTGAGCTATTTAGTATGAGCCGCAGTTGCCATATTTCTCGCGACATCGTCGAATAGTTTCAAGCCTAGTACGAAGAAAACTATGCTCTTTACCAGTTGCCAAGTGTATCGATCGCCTGAAATTTTCACATAGAGCGCCATCGCGCTTTTCCATGACGAGTTAAATGAACAAGAAATTTTATCCATAAACTGAAACAATCAAATGTCGATTATGTATTACTTTTGAACTGGAAAATTCGACTTTACTATTAGTTTAAAATAACTGAATTTGATGGCCACACCGAAAATCTTTTCGTACTTTTTTCTTCTTATCGAATCTAAAATGCAGAGATTAGCAAAAAATTTTAATTTCTAAGAAACAATGGCTACATCTCTAATGGATGCTCCAAGGATTGTTTCAAATGCTAAAAAACAATGTAAGTAAAAGACGTTGAGATTTTCGTCGGTGTGGTAATCAGACCTTAAGTGAAATCTAGCAACCCACCCCATCTTCGCACGAGTGCAATGTATTATATATGTATATAATATAAACCTTTCTCTGGAATCACTCTATCTAGAAGAAAAACTCGATTCCCACAGGGGCATAAAATCTTTTGAACTTTTTTCTACAAATTTTAATTACCGATAAAAGTTAGGTAAAGCCCTTCAATTCAATTGCATTGCCCCAGTTTCGTACGGTAAATTTTCCGTAGTATATTTCTAGATTTTGAACTTTTCCCAGATTTTTCGTTAGTGAAAACATTCGGTTCAATAGGTTTAAAAATACATAATCTGGAATAAATTATAAAAGTTTCCTCTTTGAAATAGTACTACCGATATGTTTCCAATTAAAGGTAACATAATTATAGTTTGAGGTGCTGCATGGCATTTCTTAGTTGTCAAACAATCAGAACATTGCTTCCTATGGAGAAAGTTATTATTTATCATGTTAATATTTATTATGTTAAACTACTACTTAATACTTATCATGTATACTTTAAAATAAAATAATGATTACATATAAAAAAAATTCATGACTTCAATTAATTATTACATAAAAATAACCGATTTAAATAAAATAAATATCTATAAGAAACTAAAACTTTTATTCAGTTTTAGTTTCTTATAGATAATTATATATATGATATAATTATCTGTAAGAATAATAAGCGTCTATTTAATCGCTTCTTGTGTTGCCTTGTGTCGCCTTTACGAAAATAGTTACACCTGCGTCACAAGCCAGAATTTTTGTTGCACTTTGTTTCTTCCGTGTCAATATCCTTTTGAAGTGTTGTAATCGTGTAATGTATCTTTAATGCAATTACTTTAATCAATGATTACTAAGAGCGATTGCCTTTTGGCCATCGCTTCCAGTCAACCCAAAAATATTTCATAAAATAATATAACCGCCTCTTTATTTAAAAAAAAAAAATCGTTTTTGTGATCTCTCCTAAGACGCAGGAATGATTTTCTAGCGCGTCGTTTGGTGTAAAAAAAGAATATTAAAGAGAAAAATGAACTTAGAGCTTAAGACTACTTTTAGAAGCAGCCTTCTAAGCTCTAACTTAAATAAAAACGTAAACAAAAAAAATAGTAACATTATAACAGCATCGGTTTTCGGGTCTTTGCCCCGAGCTTTGCCCCGAACTTTGCCGCGCAACATTTGAGCATTGGCTTTGGCACGAGACAAAACTGAACGTTGTTGTGGGTGTCTGTGGTCTGGACCTGGGACCAACGGCAGCTCGTTCAGGTTCATGCTCCCGATACCTTGCAAACTCGTTCTGGATGCAGCGCAGGTCGCACCGGCTCATGATTTTATTTAATTGGCATTTACAGTGATTATAGTTCCTGTGACATTAATTGACGGATCGAAACAAAGGTGAACCAATTTAATACAGAGTCAGTGTCATATAGAATAAATACAATCGGCGTTGGTGCCATTGATAAAATCAACTTTTATACTTTTTTTTAATCAGAAAAAGGATTAATTATTTTTGTTGCTTTCTGTATATCATGACCTGCATTTCCCTTCCGTTAAAAAAAATTACTCCTAAATTCACAGATTCGTTGAAATAAACCAAACTGATTTTAATGATAATATATAATAATAATTTATTGTATAAATAATAAATTAAAAGAAATATTGGTTAGGTTTGACAGTGTAAACATGTTGTCCTGGAAGGACCATATTTATTTATTTATTTATTAAAAGTAATAACATTTTCTTATAAGATATTCTTAAGCATAGTAGACAAGTATGGATATAAAAATATTTATGTAAATCTTTTATATAGTGATCAAATTTTATATGTTAAACATAATAATAGATTGTCCTTCAATTCTAATAACCACATAATCAACTATTATTAACCAAAAATCTTATATTTACCTTGCGTTAAATCTGTTAGCATTTATTCAACAAGATCTCAATATGGTGTCGACTTTAGGCTAAAATATGAAAATAGATATTTAGAAATTTTTGAACAGGAAAATATGTATTGGTAAATCGCGACCGACTGGTTTATCGAGTTTCCGATAACATCACCGAAACGATACTTTAAATTGCACTCTATTATAAATTAAGACACACACACACAACGCCATGTATCGGCGCACAAACAAACAGACAGACCTGCACGGTGTCACAAACGACACTACTCGCCCTTTTTCTATATTTCTAAACGCATGCATCGTAATTTTAATCAAACGCATACTGCTATAGAATTAACACCAAGAAACACGATATGCACTAGATTCCGTATGTTTTAAATTGTCTCCAGCATGATTAATAAAAGATGTAATGTAAATGTTCTCAGCTGTAATGATTAACAGATGTACAATATCGATTTTATTCATCTTCCGCACCTTATCCCATCTAGGTAGGGTCGGCACATGTGAATAACGTGCCGACCCTACCTAGCCGTGATAGCTCAGTGTCCGGGCGCTCGCCTTTAATTCAATATACTCGAGCAACCTGAGTTCGATCCCCGGTGCCGGCACCAATGAAGTTTTTAACTTTAAGTGCTGACTTATCACGTGCTCCGCGGTGAAGGAAAACGTCGTGATATTTTCTAAATAATAACAAAAAAAAATATATTTCGAAGATATGTGAAGTCCGCCAATCCGCAGTGGAGCCGCGTGGTGGACTATGCCCTGATACCCTCTGTATAGAGGAGGCCTTTGCCCAGCAGTGGGACATGTATAGGTGTTACTTTACTTTACTTTTGGCTTTATTTACTAACGCATTACAAATTTTTCCTTTAATCACTACGCATGGCTTTTGCGCATACATAATAATTACAGCAATAAACCT